CTCCAGGATTCCCCCGGAAAAGCTCTGGGCACAACACGGCAACAATTAATTTTTGGGCGGCACGGTGGCTGAGTGGATAGCACTGCGTAGGTTTCCTCCGGGTACTCCGGTTTCCCCGACCACTAAAAACAGGTTTAATCCTCCAGCTCCGGTAGTCCTGAGCAAGCCGACCATCAACATCTGGAGTCTATGGCGACCATTGCTCCAGACGTAAGCCTTAGCGGCATCAGGATGGGTCAAATGCAGAGGATGAATAAAGTGCACCTTTACCCTTATTTTAATTGGCGGCACGGTTCTCCCCGTGTCGGCTTAGGTTTCCTCCGGGTGTTCCTGTTTCCCCTACCACTAAAAACATATAAAATAAGTCCGGCATGCTTCTCCTGTACTGGCGACCTCACTCCATCTCTGTGTGGAGTGAGAGACAAATGCCAAAAATAACAATTGTAAAGCGCTTTGTGACTCTAGTCTGAGAAAGGACGCTGTATGAATAAAGACTACTTACATACTTACTTAATGTTAACACCAAAACTCCCAGAACCATAAATTTGACGTCTTTTTCAATTTACAGTGCTTATATAAATGGTTGGTCTTCATAATTATCTGACTTTTACTGTATCTATATTAGCTGTAATTATTGTTATGAAATTATCTTTTTTTTTTATGCCAGTAGTTCTTCCTTTGACAGTCGTTTTGATAACAATCATGTGAATGTAAATTTCAATTATAGCCATTTTTGGTCACTTGGCAACCAACTATGTGACCATTAAACCCTATTTCTCCAAGGTACTGGTGGTCCTGAACTGGTCTTGGACTGATTTTGGAGGGGCTCTGATTCCGCTTTTAAACCGAGTCAGCTTAATTTTCCACCAGAGCAGAGCGAGTGTTAATTACAATAACAGTCTATTTACTTGCCAACAATTTAAACTTTGTAGCCTTTATTTAAAGAAACAGTTTTTTGTGTATTTCAAGTTTCATTAACCAGTTTTAGAACTTATTTAAAGCAAGTAAAGATAAAAACCTCACTTTTTTGGAAAGTTTTTTTTAATGCATTTAGAATTTAACGCATTGTTCACAGGGAGCAGAGGCAGACATGGCGTTGATGTGGAAGCATGTATGGTAAGCATGTATGATACCCTCTTGGCTCTAAAATGTGGCATGTGAATAGGAGAGGGATAAGCAGTGCTCTATTTCGACGTCCTCTGCTCGGCTGCTGTCACTGTGGTGAGAGCGATAAAGCTTTACAACGCAGCCCAGTGGAAATAGCTGGCTTTATTGTGCTCTGTCTGAAAATATGGTTTCTCATACACGGCACGACCGCAGGCTAAATGTAACATGATAAAAATATGCTACAAGGATGGATGGGTTGGACATAACGAACATTCAACATGGCAGTTATGAGGTCCTCAGGAGATTATGGTAATTACATCTCAGTAACAATAAATTATGGTTCATAAATAGTCAATTTATGAAGGGGTGAATGGATGGAGAGGACATCCTATACGCATCCTAGGGTGGCGCAGGGGCTAAGTGGATAGCGCTCTTGCTTCTCAACAGGGTTTGAATCCCGGTCGGAACAGGGTCTTTCTGAGTGGAGTTTGCATGTTCTCCCCGTGTCTGCGTATAGGTTTCCTCTGGGTGCTCAGGTTTCCTCTACCAATAAAAATATGCACAACAGGTCAAATCCTCCAGCTCCGGTCCTGACCAAGCCGAAAATCAACATCTGAAGATGTGTCCCCGGGTGCTGCACTCTTGCAACCACTGCTCCTGGCGGAAGCCTTAGTGGAATCAGGATGGGTTATAGTCACCCATGGGTTGTGTCATAGTGATTGTCTTTATGAGGAAGAGGCCGATTAGAGCAAGTTTGAACCGGCTTTTTGGTTGGCGATGTGGATCAAAATATATGCAAATTATGTTGGTAGCAATGGTTGAGTTATGAAACACAAATTAGGAGCATCGCTGCTATTTAAATCCAAATTCTGTGACAGAAGGCTCCTGATTGGTCAGTTTTTAGGGAATCATCACATAAATACCAGGATCTCAGAGAGTGTGAAACCATGTATTTTTTAAGCATAAAACGATGAGCTAGGAGTTTATTTTTCTATGCAAGTCAAGAGGAGCCAAAGCTTTTTGAAATTCACAACTGCACTTCATTCTGGAGAAACCCATGACACGAAATACAATTTGAAGTATTTTATTAAGCATGTTTGGCGCCCTAGGCCCCGGAGCAGTGCTGTTGAGCGCGGCGCTTGCTTGCGCGCCCAGGGCCAGGGCCGCCAGACCAGTTATTGGTTGACTGGAAGTGGGTGTTGCTGTGCGATGAGCCGAGGATGAGAGCAGACCTGGAGGTGCTGGGCAGCAGCAGGCCAGGTCTACCAGAGTGAACTTGCGCAAAGCTTAGTTTTTTACCAGGGCTGTCAGATTCATTTATTAGCCATGTGCAGTATAAAAACTACATTGGAATACATTTGCAAAAAAAGGTACTCTGTGTGCACCGACAGAATAAAAAGCACAATACAATGTAATATAAAATACATATACACTGAATATAAAAGAATAAAAAACAGCTGACACTGTGGCACCGACCAACAAAACGATACAAGGGGTAAAAGCAGGAATTAAAGTGCTCTGTTTAGGCACCTAACAGCCTGTGGAAAGAAGCTGTTAGCGAGATGTCTTGCATCTCAGCGACCGATATCTTCTGCCAGAGGGAAGAAGCTGGAACATGGCTTTCCCAGGGTGGCCAGAAGAGTCATTGATGATTTTAAGAGCTTTGTTTAAAAGTCTGGATTTATAAAGAACCTCCAGAACAGGAAGCTCACAGCCCACGGTCCTCTTTGCAGAGCGGCGCACCTTGTTTAAAGCTCTCTTTTCTTTATCTGTGATGTTTCCAAACCACACAGACACAGAACCAACAAGTAAACTCTCAATGGTGCAGCGATAAAAGTTACACCACTATCGCTGCCCTATGGTGTAACCCTTGAGTTACACCATAGGGCTGTCAACAGTCCTAGTAGTTTTAAATCAAGTTAATTACAGCTTAAAAGTTAATTAACCTCTTAAACTCTCAGGCCTGAACATTGTTGAAAATGAAATTTTACTCAAACTTTAAGTTAGTCTTTGGGGATTCTGTGGATGTGAACATTCTCATATCTATCATTAGTTTTCAAGAGTACATTACGCTACATTATCAAAAAAGGTTGGTTATTATGTATATAGACATAATTACTTGTAAAGAATCAAATAACCTCTATCAAATGCAACTTCAACCTTTTACGAACACCTTGGAGCAAACTTTATGTCTAGATTCCAAAAAGATAACAATTCACGCAGGCTTTTGCCTAGAATGAGTCAAGTGTGTGAATGGTTGGTGGTGATCTGTCTTGCTAAAAAAGCAAAAAGAGGGCCTCTTGTTCAGTCACAGAAAACAGTCAGGTATAGTTCCTTGACCAGTGGGTTTCAAATCTTAGCGTGACGCTAATTCTTCTCCACTCGCAGAACGAGGAGCAGTGCTGTTGTAAACAGACTGCCTCTATAGCGTCTGCAGCGCAGACAGCAGCATGGAGGCAGCAGAAAGTGGCTGTACTTCCTCTGGCTGTAACTGCATACACAGCAGCACAGCCCAAAAGACTGAAAAGTGAGAAAATGATCAAAGAAGAAATCAAGCCTGAGTGAATATGTAGGTAGCTTACATCGCATCCTTGCTGGAGAGTTGCGGGACTGCCTCGGACTACATTTGGACGTGAAACTGGTGGTAATCGTTCAGTTTTTGTGCTGTATTTTTAGCAGGTTTGCATACATATCAGATCTCTACTTAAACTAGATGGCTAACGGTAAGCTAAGGCTACGTATGTTCAGCCGGGCTTGATTTCTTCTCTGATAATTTTTTCACTTTCACTTTCACTTTCATCATAGTTTCCTCTTCTCGTCCTCACTGTTGAGTCGTTTGGGCTATTTTGCTGTGTATGCAGTTACAGACAGGAAGTAGCCACTTTTTGCTAATATGCTGCTGTGTTTTCCACCAGCCCTGTAGAGGCTAGAGGACACAGGATATTCGCTCGTTCTGTGAGTGGAAGAGAACATGCGTCACGCTAAGTCTCTACTCAGCACTTTTTACGGCCTGAATTCATACACAAGCAGAATCAATGAGCTCAAGTTCTCAATGAAATTAGAGATTTAATACAACTTGTATGTAGTATAACGCATTTTTTATGAACTCATTAGAAATTAAATCGGGTATAGCTTCTTTAATGTTCACAAATGTTGTAGAATATTGAGTATCCAAGATCATCACCGCAGTCCTTTTTGTTAGAGCATGAACAGTCTAACAGACCCTCCTGCATCGGCAAGGAAAAGCTCTGAGAAACCCCTGGGAGGTCCATCTTCAAATCAATGGCCAGTGGAAGCTGAAAAATTAGCCAAAGTTACTATTTTCTCTCTGCCTTAAGCAATTGGTGTCGGGAATAGTGCAGTGTAGTGACTGCTGTAGTGAGGGCTTAATGCGCTCATGCTTGTGCAGAAAGCAACACGTTAGCGTTCTGACGTGTCAATGCCCTCACTGAGGCCATGGCGCTCGACCGGAAAAATGTGCCTTGCTACCTTGTGACGACCCCAGTCTTCATGCAGTCACATGTGATGGGGTATTACGCACATGAAAGCAGTGGAGGAGAAAAAAAACTGCAGCATAAACCTGAAACACCACAAGTATCCGGTTGACACTCGCTGTTAAACCTAACAGGGGTTGACTCCAAAAAAGGCTAAACAAATGGTCATACAAAAAACAAAGAGACCATACAAACAAAACCTGGGCCTAACTAAGTAACAACTGTATATGAAAACAAAATGAGCACTAAACAAAAAGCTGGAGATTTACCACAAAAACATGTGTGACTCTCAAACGTTTAA